TTTCAAAAGGGGTTCGGTCGTTCCTTAGGCTTGCATGCGGTATTTGCAGTTCCTTATGAGTTATTTGTTATTCATAGTTCCTTATGCGTTATTCCTTGGGATAAAAAAGGGTCTTCGTTCCTTATGTATCGTTCCTTAGGTCAGGCCGATGACTGTAGGTTGTAGAAATTATTCGTGGCCGAGGCGCGCCGTGACAAGAAGCGCCACTTCGTTCCTTACGGAGGGGACGTTCGTTAAGGAATGTGCCCAGCTGGCTTCAGCCCCTGGAGGATGCACTGTCTGATGAGGGCGGCGGGGAAGTCCGTGGCCAATCTACCATTGGAGTTCCACTGGTTTTCAGACCCTGGTTTCCTTACCCAAGGGTTGCTTATCCAATGTTCTCACAGTAACTTCTCGGAGTCCCGCGCGGATCCCGCGCGGATGTCTAGGATTGGCGCCGGCCCTTCCTGGCGGCGCGCTCCGCGAGCCAAAGCGGGGGGTCCAGCGCGGATCCAAGAAAATCGCGCGGACCTCCGAGAAACGATGTTTATGCATGCATGTGTTTGCTCCTCCAGGGGGGGGGGTCCGAGGCGCCGTTCCAAAAGCAGTCCTCTGGAACCACGGGGTAATGCCATCGGCGTGCTCGGCGTTCTTCATGGCAGCACGACGGCAGCACAGTGGAGACCCAGGCCAAGCAACACCCTGCTTGCCTCCACGGTGCCCTTCGATGGCCTGGCTGTGGAAAGCGTGACCTTCCCACACCAAGAGCCACTGGACGCCCTGGGGTCTCAGGGTTGGATTTCTTCTGGGAGGTGCCTCGTGGTCGGGCCTCCACAGTACTCACACCAAGAACCAATGGACGCCATGGGGTCTCAGGGCTGGATTTCTTGTGGGAGGTGCCTCGTGGTCGGGCCTCCACAGTACTCACACCAAGAGCCAAGGGACGCCCCGGGGTCTCAGGGTTGGATTTCTTCTGGGAGGTGCCTCGTGGTCGGGCCTCCACAGTACTCACACCAAGAACCAATGGACGCCATGGGGTCTCAGGGTTGGATTTCTTGTGGGAGGTGCCTCGTGGTCGGGCCTCCACAGTACTCACACCAAGAGCCAAGGGACGCCCCGGGGTCTCAGGGTTGGATTCCTTCTGGGAGGTGCCTCGTGGCCGGGCCTCCACAGCACTTCTCGCACCCCCGGCGCGGGATGGACCGCGCGGGGCCGCGGGCGCTACTGCCGCGGGGTGCGGCCGCCCCCCCCCCCCCAAAAAAAAAAACATGCGAAAGCATCGCTCTCCGGGCTGTGCGCGCGCGCGCCGGCACACCGGCGAGGCCAGCGATGGAAGAGGCAGAAGATCAGGAGTGACCCCCTGAGCCGAAGAAGAGAGAGCGCCATGAACATAAATGTTTGGCGCTCCGCGCGGATTTCTCGGCTCCGCGTTGGGCCCCCCCCGGCGGCGCCTCCAGCGCCGCCCCTGGCGCGCTCCGCGCGCCAGGGATGGGGGTCCAGCGCAGATCCACGAAATCCGCGCGGAGTGAAAACATTTGATGTTGATGGCATTTTTTCTTATTTCACTAAAGGGGGAGGCCCACCCTGCAGGTTCGGTTTAAAGCACATCGTTGAGCGGTGCTATAGCCTCCCCTGGGCACAGCGCCCCCCCCCTCGGAGCAGCAGCCAAAAAAGCCGGGTTTGCGTCCTCATGCCTTCATGGCCTCCGGGCGCGTTTCGGCACTGCCACAGGTCCTCCGGGATGTTGGGTGTCCCAGCCAAGCATGTCCAGGTGAATTGTCGACATGCCTAAAGCTACACGGATATATAGAGAGCGGATCCTTCTTCACATTGGAGTTCGCGTTTCGAAGACTTCCTTGCAGGCAGAGAGCAGCATCATTCAGACGTCCGACAGGTACGCGAGATAAGGCACATTTTTTTCGGAAGCATCTCATCGTCTTGGCGTCACGTACCCTTCTGTTCAAAGCTTCGGGAGGAATCCAACAGGACGCTAAGTACTAATGAGTAGGAGGTGACGTGATGGTCATGGCCATAATACCTCCCAGATGTCAGGCGTTTTTTTAAGCATGGGGGTCGGTCCTTAGCTGGCGCTTCTGGTGGTGGCAAATCGACTGCAGCCCGCTGCTGTCTCATCTTCCCTCCCCCTTCCGCTCGATCACGTAATATTGGCGAGTCGAGAAGAGACGGTTCTCAGAGTCCACTTATTTGTTCGTGGTTGTTGTTCCCATTCTCTTCCTCTCGAAGATTATAGTCGGGAGCTGGCCCACCACGACTAGGCGCGACACGCTAACCACGTCTCGAACCCCCAGGCGTCAATGCTCCGAACTTCTCCCGGCATCCCGCCCCACGGAGCGGAGCGGCACGCTGTCCGCTTGCGGGCCGCTGCCGCGACACGCTAAGGAAAGCTCCAGATCAGAATCTGTCTCAAAAGGACACCCCGCCCCGAGGCCCTGGCAGCCGCCAGCCTTTTGCAGCCACTCAGGGCCTGCGCTGCTTTCTGGGCGCCGCTGATGGTAGCCGCTCGACTGCACCCACCCTGTTGTCTCCTCTTTCTCCCCTCTTCCCTCCCAGGAACTCATTCACTCACTCAAGCCATACGCCGTCCAGCGCGTGGGCGGGAAAATACAAGCTCAGCACAGCCTTCCTTCTCCTCCTCCTCCTCCTCCTCCTCCTCCTCCTCCTCCTCCTCCTCCTCTTCCTCCTCCTCCGCCTCCGCCGCCGCCGCCTCCGCCTCCTCCTCCTCCTCCTTCTCCTCCTCCTCCTCCTCCTCCTCCGCCTCCTCCTCCTCCTACCACGTCCCTCCTACGCTCCTCTTTTCCTTCCTACCAGGAGCATGCTTCAAAACGGAAAGATGCCACCCTGGATGCCGAAGCAGCTTTCTCTGAAGCGCCCTGCGAGCCGCGCAGCTTGACAAGTGCCCCCTCCCCTTCCATCCTCCTCCTCCTCCTCCTCCCCTCCTCCTCCTCCGCTCCCTCCCGCCTCTACCTCCTCCTCCTCCTCCTCCTCCTCCTCCTACTCGATCCTTTCCCTCCTCCTGCCTCCTCCTCCTCCTCCTCCTCCTCCTCCTCCTCCTCCTCCCCCTCCTCCTTATCCTTCCTCCTCCTCCTCCGCTTTCTTCCTTATATCCTCCTCCTCCTCCTCCTCCTCCCTCCTCCTCCTCCACCTCCTCCTCCCTGCCTCCTCCTCTTCCCTTCCTCCTCCTCCTCCTCCTCCTCCTACTCCTCCTCCTTCTCCCTTCTCCTCCTCCTCCTCCTCCTCCTCCCCTCCTCCTCCTCCTCCTCTCCCCTCCTCCTCTCCCCTCCTCCTCTCCTCCTCCTCCTCCTCTCCTCCTCCTCCTCCTCCTCCTCCTCCTCCTCCTCCTCCCCTCCTGGCCTGGGGAAGCGCCATGGAGAAGCAACCACCCCGACCGCCAGAACCGGCTTAGGCTAGGCTGCCCCGGACGCTGGCCACTCAAAGAGCAATGGACTTGGTCGGTCCCATTCTAGTTTGCTGTTATGTGGGTGTGGTTCTTCTGCCCTCTCCTACCCCATCCAGGAAGTATGCTTGTCAAAAGACCCCGGAAACGGAGGAGGGACGAGGAAACGGAGGATTCGGAGGGAGGGACAGGGACGAGAAGGATGGAGGACGAGGAGGGTCGGGCCACTCTCGTTCCTTACCTGGCGTCCCCGATGGTAGCCGCTCGGCTGTGCCTCCTGTCGCCTCCCCTTCCCTTCCCTCCCCCCCTCGACGAGACGTGCTAGCCACAGAGACATGCTCCCCTCCCCGAGGCCCGGGCAGCCGCTGGCGCCGCGGCGAGCAGCGCGGCCATGTTCCAGCCGCCGCCGCCCCTCCCCTCCCCCACCGCCGCCGAAACGAGAGCCCCGACTGGCGACACCGTAGCCCTCATGGAGGAGAGGCGCCGCCGCCGAGCACCCTGTCGGGACCACAGTGGCATGCCACGCGGTGCTCGTCCTCTCTGAGCCTCCTGCAGGCTTCCCAGATACGCTCCTGCGTCGTGAAAGAGCAACGACGGGAGGCGTTTCGCAGGTTTTGACCTCAGGGGCCCTCACTGGGCCCCGGGCCCGTCAAAACTACCCAGGATGAAAATCTGCTCCCCGGGGAAGAGCTCCAGGAATCCCTCATGGAAGAAATTGCGAAGGCCTGACGGCCGGTGCCGCCAACCCTGAACAGGACCACGACGTCGGCGACGAAGCGGGCGGAGACGGAGGCCGTGGATGATGATGAGGAGGAGGAGGAGGAGGAGGAGGAGGAGGAGGAGGAGGTGGAGGAGGAGGAGGAGGCGAGGCGAAGGGGGAGGAGGGGGGGGTGTGGACTAGGGGGAGGAGGAGGAGGAGGAGGAGGAGGAGGGAGGAGAGGAGGAGAGGAGGATGAGGAGAAGAGGAGGAAGAGGAGGAGGAGGAGGAGGAGGAGGAGGAGGAGAGGAGGAGAGGAGGAGGAGGAGATGAGGAAGAGGAGGAGAGGAGGAGGAGGAGGAGGAAAGACGAGGGGGGTGAGGGGAGGGGAGGGGGAGGGGATGGGGAGTGAGGGGAGGGGGAGGGGGAGGAGGAGAGGAGGAGGAGGAGGAGGAGGAGAGAGGAGGAGGAAGGAGGAGTAGGAGGAGGAAGGAGGAGGAGGAGGAGAGGAGGAGATGAGGAGCAGGAGAAGGAGGAGGAGTGAGGAGCGAGGAGAGAGGAGGATGAGGAGGAGGGGGAGGGGGAGGAGGAGAGAGGAGGAGGAAGGAGGAGGAGGAGGAGGAGGAGGAGGTAGGAGGAGGAGGAGGAGGAGGAGGAGGAGGAGGAGGAGGAGGAGGAGGATTGGCCCCCCGTGGATCTGGGGCGCGGTTGCGCGCCATCTGGTGGCGTGTGCGGCGTTGCTGGGCGGGCCCTGTGGGGACGAGGGCCTCCCGAAGACACCGGAGAAGCTGGCAACCTGACCTCCCTCAGCGATGAAGCCGGTGGAGCGGGTGAAGCGGTCGAGGCCCCGGCGCCTCCCAAGCCTCGAAGGCAGGGGTCTTCGATGGAAGGGACCGGGGGCGTTGTGAATCGTTCGAGGAGCGGGGGGTTCTGTTGTTGGGGCCTCCTGGAGGCTTCTCGTCGCCACGGCTGGATCCGCCCCGAGGAGCGCGGCGGGATGAGAACCCTGGGAGGGGTCCGAGGACCGATTTTGAGCGGACGTGGGCTGGGCGGGGCCACACCGCCACAGAGCACCCATCGGCTGGGGTCCCCTGGGCGGCGGCACGCGCGAGCGTCGCCATGTGTCGGGTGACGCTCGGGCTTGCCGCAGCCCAGGGGTCGCCCCCTCCCCCCTTCCACCCCGCTCCCTGGGTGCTCGGTGGCGGTGATCCTTGGTTCCAATCTGGAGGGCCCATGCTTGCCAGTCGGGGGAAATTGACACAGACACACATACACGCCGATTTCCATGTAAGTATCGGAAACGGAGGGGGGAGGGGCGATGAGAGAAAGCAGCAAAGATTGAGACCTAAGGAGGATCCTGGAACCTGTGCCGATGTCTCTGTTTCTCCCTGGGCCCCATGTCTAGCTCCTATGGGGTAGACCTCTGCCGCTTGGGCGCTCGCTGCCGGCCACGCCAGCCGCAGGGGCAGGCAGTCGGGGCCAGTATGGGGGCCAGTATGGCCCTCCTCCTCCTCCTCCTCCTCTCCTCCCCTCCTCCCTCCTCTCCTCCTCCTCCTCCTCTCCTCCTCATCCTCTCCTCCTCCTCCTCCTCCTCCTCCTCCTCCTCCTCCTCCTCCCCCTCCCTCCTCCCTCCTCCTCCTCCTCCTCCTCCTCCTCCTCCTCCTACTCCCTCTCCCCTCTCCGTCCTCCTCCTCCCTCCTCATCCTCATCCTCCTCCCCTCCTCCTCCTCCTCCTCTCCTCCTCTCCTCCTCCTCCATCCTCCTCCTCCTCCTCCCCTCCTCCGCCTCCGCCTCGCTCCGCCTCCGCCTCCTCGCAGCCCGCGCCTACAGGTTTACTGCGCCGCGCCCGCCCGCCCGCGCACGGAGGGCACACGTTCTGGCGCGTGCGCCTGCCGCGAGGGCGCCGTCGGGAGGGGCACGCCTCACGGGGACGGCACGCAGTCTCCTGACCTGATTATCCGAAGGGGGAGGAGGAGGAGGATGCGGAGGAGGAGGAGGAGGAGGAGGAGTGAGGAGGAGGAGGAGGAGGAGGAGGAGGAGGAGGAGGAGGTAGGGGGCTGATTGAGTGATCTTCTGAGGGAACAGGAGGAGAGGAGGAGGAGGAGGAGGAGGAGGGAGGAGGAGGAGGAGGAGGGGGAGGAGGAGGAGGGGGGAGGAGGGGGAGGAGGATGGCCAGATTCCCACGGAGGGCAAACGCTCTGGCGCGGGCCTGTCGCGGGGGCGCCGCCGGCAGGGGCACGCCCCACAGGGGGACGGCACGCAGTGTCCTGGCCTGCTTTTCCGAAGGGGGGGGGGCCCTGTGGGCCCGCACCAAGCCCAGACCCCCGACGTCGTGATTGTTTCACAACGTCGACCGACCCCCCAGAGGTCTGGGCCCCTTGCATATAGGGCTGGCGTCTCAGCCTGAGTCGTTCTTAAGGGCGGCCCCGGGGCTCGGCAAGGGCCCCCGGAGGCCGCAGGTGGGGAAGAGCCTCCCGTCGTGATTGTTGCTTCGCAACGAGAGGAGGAGGAGGAGGAGGAGGAGGAGGAGGAGGAGGAGGAGGAGGAGGCGGAGGAGGAGGAGGAGGAGGAAGGAGGAGGAGGAGGAGGAGGAGGAGGAGGAAGGAGGAGGAGGAGGAGGGAGGAGGCAGGAGGAGGAGGAGGAGGAGGAGGAGGGGAGGAGGAGGAAGGAGGAGGAGGAGGGGGAGGCGGATGAGGAGGAGGAGGAGGAGGAGGAGGAGGAGGAGGAGGCGGAGGAGGAGGAGGAGAGGAGGAGGAGGAGAGGAGGAGGGAGGGAGGAGGAGGAGGTGGGCTGCCTGCTCGGCCCCCCGGACGTCGGCTCCCAGGCGGGGGATTCACATACATCCCCGCCTCGCACCCCCTGTGCAGAAAGCCGCCGGGGCGCTCCGGTGCGGCCTGCGAGGCTCTCGGGCCAGCAGGGCAGAGCATGCGCGCATGCGCTTCTGCTCCTGACGGGCTGCGGATCGACATCGTCGTGCCCGCCGCCTTCTGTCTCATGTTCTAGACCTCACTTAACAAGCAGTGGCGAAGCGTCCAGGCGTGCCTACAGGCCTACCAAACAATGTTCTAACAACCTTGTGGTTTCCACGAAATGTTCTCAGAACATTTCTGGCTGGGGCTGTCTTGTTTTAACACATCGGGCCTATGTTCGAAGAACATGGTTTTTGTTATTGGAACATGGCTGGATTCTAAGAAAAATCGTGGTAGGCCTATAGGAATGCCGAGACGGTCGGTCCCTGCTCAAAATTAAGAGATCAATTTCAAAGCCCATGTACCCCAGAATTGTTTTTGACCCTCGTCTCTACGAAAAGAATACGCATGGTGGCCCGCAGATCAGCGAACGTTCTATGCATTTTATCGCAGATTCGACAACAAGTCAACTCTGGGGTAAATCGATTCTGCAGTCGACCTCGTACTCGAAAAATGTGTTCTCAGGCTTTTCCTGATATTTTCGGGACCCAGGTTTGTTTCCATCCTGTGCGCCTCGTCGAGGGCGGCGTTCCGCGGCCGCCGGAGTCGTCCCGAACGGCCACGCGAGGCCCGAGGTCGAAAGCAAACTTGGGCGCGCGCACAGCCGGGCTCTTCGTCAACGGGGTCCAGCGGATCCCCTCCTCGATGGCCCTCTGCCCTCTTCGATGGCCCTCTTGAAGGGGCCCCAGGACACAAATAAATACACACATAAAAAGATGCCCCATGTTGTCCCATATTTTCTACGGTTTTGTCTTCCCCCCCACTTCCCATGTTTCCCATATTTTCTGGGGAATCGACGATTAATTGTGTCTGTGTGTTTCTTTCCCTCCTGACCTCTGCCCTCTTCGATGGCCCTCTTCGCCCACGGGGGTCCGCTGCGCCGCGGGGAGCCGACCCCCTCTGCCCTGCCTCCGCCGACCCGGGTCCGGGAGCTGCCCTGCGGCCGGCCTGGGTTCGCGGCGTGGCCTCGGGATGTCCCGGGTCAGCGCTGGCCCGAGTTCGGAGTGCGAGTACAGTCGGGGCGCTGAAGAAGGAACCCTTCTTGTTGGGGAGGGGCTCGGTGTTCCTTGATTGTTTCAAAGTTTGCCTCGGGTTTTCCTGAGGTTTTCCATGGGAAATCGAGGTTGAACTTATGGGAAAAAGGGGCCTCGTTCCTTATTTAGGGCTCCTTAGGTCAACGCCTCGACTGTAGGAGGTCGACTACAGAATTGGTGCACGCCAAAGTTGCTGTTCCCAATCGGATCCACGAACCCCCCAAAAAACGCAGAAGGTGCGCAGCTCTACGAACACTCTAGGTTTTTGTTGTCGTTGACTCGGCAAGCAAATGAATTCTGGGGTGAAGAAGTTCTGTGGTCGATCTCCTAACTCGAAGAGTGGAGTGGAGGGATTTGCCCCTGGCGCGCTTCGCGGAGGGGTGGTCCAGCGCCGCCCTGCGCAGCCCGCGCGTCCGTGGGCCTCGTCTGCCAGGCTGCCTCGTGCAGCCGGTGGGAGCTCGCGCCGACCCAGACCCCCTCGGGCACTGAAGAAATCACGACGGGAGGTTTTTCCCTATTTTCGGGCCCTGGGGGCCCTTACCGGGCCTCGGGACCGTCAAAAAACGACTCGGGATGAAAAACCGGTGCCAGGGAAGGGGTCCAGACCTTTGGAGGTCGACGTCGCGAAAAAGTCATGATGTCGGGGGTCTGGGGGCCGTGCTTCGTTCCACGGCGTCGCAGGGGCCGGAAGCGCAACAGCGATGAGGCGGGAGGAAGGTCGACGGAGGCAGAAACAGCATGCATGTGCAGATGGAGACTCAGGGGAGGACAGGTACGCTCGTCCTGGAGGGCCCTCGTCACCACGGCTGGATTCTCCTCGAAATTCGAATCAGAATACACCCCAGGAGGGGACAAGGGAGTAGCGGCATCGACACCTTTGCGTCCCCCCAATAAGCGTGAACCTTGGGAAATCGGCGCGAACCTCCGAAAGTGCATATGTTGCTGATGTTCATTCTGTTCTCAGGGCGAACGCACTTGGGCCCCCAAAAAAGAATGATGCGCTCTGGCAATCATACTTTCTTGCATCCTTGTCTTGCCTGCCGTGGCCACCAAGTTTCGCTGGGGGGGGGGGGGCCAGCCGGTTTTCGGGGGGAATGAAGGAAGAGGAGGATTGAGAATCTCTGGGATTCTGGGCTGGTGTCGTGCTCTCCCCAGAAGGTCGCGAGGTCCATGCAGAAGAGAGGGTCAGACGACGAAAGATTACGGCAACCGACAGCCGTCGGCGTCGAGGACGACGCACGCGACGACGACGGCACGCGACGACGACACGCGACGACGACAGCCGAAGTCGACGATGTCGACGAGACGATGGACACGACGGCGACGGACACGACGAGCACGACGACGACGACGACGACGACGACGACGACCACGAAGATGCTGACGACGACGACGACGACGACGACGACGACGACGACGACGACGACGACATCAACGACGACGACGACGACGACGACGACGACGACGACGACGACGACGACGACGACGACGACGACGACGACGACGACGACGACGACATCAACGACGACGACGACGACGACGACGACGACGACGACGACGACGACGAGCCCGCCGCCGCGCTGCGGCCCGCCCACGAGCGACGGGGGGGGTCCGGGGCGCCGCACCCCGCGCGGGAGCCGCCCTTGCTCTGTTCGGTGCTGGGTCGACGTGGCCTCGCCCTCGAGGATCGAGGATCGAAGGAGGCCCCCCCCTCCTCCCCCTCCTCCCTCCTCCCCCTCCTCCCCCTCCCCCTCCCCCTCCTCCTCCTCCTCCTCCTCCTCCTCCTCCTCCTCCTCCTCCTCCTCCTCCTCCTCTGCAGTCGATCCCCTGCTCGAGTTCTGGTGCTGTCTCGAGGAAGCCACGACGCCAGGACCCCGTTTCACGTGGCCTCGCCCGCATGGGGCGCTCCAAAACGGGGCCTCGCCCTCGAGGATCGAAGGAGTTGGCACCTCCTGCGCGGCGGAAGGTCGGCGGAAGTAGAACGAGGCCGCCTCCGCCAGCGAAAGGCCGGCGGAAGGCGGTCGGGAGCCTCGAGACGGAGGTCCATGCAAACGGGGGTCAGCAAGAGCGCCCGATCTTGCAGGGTCTTGCAGGGCCAGGGTCGCTTTTACCTGGGTTTGGGTGCAGGATTCTGCAGGATGTTGCAGGATCCTTCGCGTTGGCCCAGGTTTGAGCGCAGGATCTTTCAGGATTTTGCAGGATTCAGCAAGGCCTGACTGACCCGGGTCTGGATTGACCCGGGTCAGCAGATCCATGAGGCGGCGGAAGCAGAAGTCGACCTCCAAGAGATGAAAACGTTTTGGGGTTCAGGGTTTCCGGAAACGCCCACATGGCGCCGTCCATTCTGTTCGCGTCACAAGGGGCTCTGTACCGTCGGACGGAGGAATACGATCGAGGGCGGTTCGGGGAGGGCACCCTGGTGTTCTTCGCGCTTGTGGGATGTGCGTGTGCATCCTGGGGGAGGGTGCCCCAAGATGTTCTGCTGGTTTTGGCCGACGCAGGGTCTCATGGTCTTGGAGTCTATTCTTCTGGCCCGCCGCGCGTTGGCAACGCTACCAAAGAGGACGCGGCCACCTCTATTTCGCTCGGGACCCTCTCCAGCATTGCCTGACAGGTGCCACTTCAGGTAGCGGTGGGCGGACTGATGGATCTTCCTGGAGTGTTAGGTTTTTCCCCTCAGTCTTGTTCCCCGGCAATGTTCCGAGGGTCTTGCTGCGGTGCATGTTTATTCCCGTGTTCTGTTTCAGGACCGACCCTGGACCGCTCGGGCATTGCGATGCGGCCCCCCTTCCGCTACAGTGGAGGCCCATGTCAAGAAACACCCTGCTTGCCTCCAGGGTGCCCTGGGCTTCTTGGGTTTCGATGGTTTTGCTGTGGGAAGCCTGACGTTCCCGCACCGAAAATCAAGACACGTCCTCTGGTCTCAGGGTTGGGTTTCTTGTGTAAGGTTTCTTGTGGACTGGCCTCCACTGTATTTCTGCGTTCTGGTTCAGGACCGGCCTTGGACCGATCCGGCGCTGCGATGCGTTCATCCTCCGCTAATTACCTTACGTTTCCGCTGGTTCTCGGCGGCTCTCCAGCCTTGGAATGCGGTTTTTAGCAGCTGCGCCTCGCCGAGGAGCATCCCAGAAAGGTGCCAGAATCTGTCTCGACCGGCCGCCTGAGGTCCCAGTTATGGCCCGAAGAGATCACCGAGGGGCAGGGTCCATCTCGATCCTGTTGACTTCGGTCGCCTCGATTCGATTCGATACCGATCTTCCAACGGCCCGATGTTATCGGATGCTCGCTCGGCGCGGTGGTGCATCCTGGCGCGGCCGATCCTGTTTGATCACGTCTCCGCACCGATGCGGCCATACAGTGCAGACCCATGCCAATAAGCACCCTGCCCGCCTCCAGGGTGCCCTGGGTTTCTTGGGTTTCGACGGTTTTGCGATGGAAAGCGTGACGCTCCCACACCAAGAATTAATGGACATCCCATAAACGCGCTAACGGTGAGTTAGCTAACGGCGATGTAGGATAATCAATTGTAAGAAAGCGTGGTCCGTGGCCAAACCAATTGTAGGAACGCGTGGCTCGTGTTGTCCTCCAGTACGCTGTGTCGTCTTCGTTCGATACATTCGCAGAATTGAAATTTAGGAAACGATGTTTCGTGATGTCATGCATTTTGTTCTGCGTGAACTCGGTGCCAACAAAAAAGCATAGTCCTAAACGCACCGTTAACCAAGACGCCGTTAGCGCGGCTTTGGACATCCTGGGGTCTCAGGGTTGGGTTTCTTGTGGAAGGTTTCTTGTGGGCTGGCCTCCACCGTATTCGATGCACGTTCCGATTACATACGACGTGTTGTTTCGATGCCGACCACTCTCGCCAGCGCCCCTGCGGGAGCGCCGCCCAGGTTCCTGGGGGAGACGCCCAAGACGGCGAGCGCGGCTCCGACAGCGGTGCCCCCCTCCGCCTTCTCTCAAGGGGGGGAGGTCACTGAGGATAAAAAAGAACCCCGAACCCTAAAACGAGGACGACGTAGCCTCAATGAGGTCCCCGTCTTCGCATTAGGGGTAATAGCTCTGGGGGGTTTTGTTTGATACACCTGCAGAAAAAGACCCCCTGGGCCTAATGTTCCTGGCCCTCCTAACTTAGGTCCCCTCTCCCAGAGGCTTAGGTTAGGGGTCTTTTTTTGGTGGTCAGTCAAGGACAGCCCGACCCCGACAACTGACAGTGACTGACGAGCCCTAGGCGTTTACGGCGCAGTCTTGCCCTGATTGGTTCTTTCCTTGGGTGCGTTTATTAGAGGGCCTCTCCCTTAGGTGTGCCCTCTATCCTTGATCGTCGGCGAACGTCGTTCGTCGTCGCTGGCCGTTGTCATAGTGCATGTCCGTCCGATGTCCGTGATCATCTCGTCCGTCGTTGTCGCCCGCCGTCCGTCGTCGCCGTCGTTTCCAACCCTGGGCCCCGTAAACAAAAGTCCGCGGCACGAATCCACAAAGAAGACGGGGTGTAGTGTCCTGGTCCCAGGGACGCCTGAGCAATACACGTAATGTCTGGTCGATCCTGAAGGTAAGATACATGACTTGAACCGCTGCCAGCACGGAGAGGTTCGGCCAGTGCAGCATGCTGACCTCTCCTGGGCACCCAGCGGTCGGATGGCCGCGATGCTGTGTTTCAGCTGTCGCAGAACGCATATGTCTCTCAAATTTGTCAGGGCTGTTGTTGTCTCTTGTACGTTTCCGGCTCTGTGGTACAGCCGTTTTGGCCTCGTCCGCTCCTGGCGCCCCCTCCGACAGCGACTCGGGAGGCGCCGGGAAAATCAGCTACGTGAGTTGATCCTCAAACCCCCCCTTTGCTATCCCCCCCTTTCGCCCGACCCGACTTTCTGAGAAGGCCTGACTCCTCTCGGCGGTGGGGAATGCCGCCGTGCCCGGCTGCCTGCTCGCGCGCGCCCGCCCCGTGAGATAGAACAGCGTCGTTGCATTGTCGAAGACGCCTCCCGGCGAATCACTGCCGCCCCTTGCCTTTCCGTGTGCGCCCATGCGGCCAAACGTTTGCGCCACGCCATTGGGCGATGCCTTCCCCGGGAACACGTGGGAGAGGAAGTGGCGGATGAGGAGAGGGAGGAAACAGAAGGACAAGGCGAAGGATCAGAGCATTTTCTTGGGAGCTTATTGGGTCAGTATTGGGGCCTTCTGGGAGCTTCCTGGGGGCCAGGAGCTTTGGGGGGCCATTGGGGGCTTCTTGGGGGCCTCGTTGACTGTCTCGCGGCATTCCTGGCCCGTCTGGCACCGTCGGAAGCCGTCTTTGGAGTGGGCCGTCTTGGGGACCATTTGTGGGCACTTCGGGGACGTCTTGGAGGCCATCTTGTGCGTCTTGAATGCCTCCTGGGCCGTCTTGAGAGCCTCTTGTGCCGACCTGGGGCTGTCTTGGAGGCCTCTTGGCCGATCTTGGGACCATTTTGGGGGTCTCTTGGGCCGTCTTGAGCCGTCGGAAGGCATGTTGGAGCAAATGCCAGACCCCTTCAAAAACCCAGGGCCGTCCTAGGGGACCCCTCGGATGCCTCTTGGGCCGTCTTAGTAGCCTCGTTGGTGCCTCTTGGGCTCTCTTGGACCATCTTGGCGGTATTTAGTCAAGGCATCTTGGAACCGTCTCGGAGGCCAGTCAAGGCATCTTGGAACCGTCTCGGAGGCCATCGTGGGGCTGCCTTGGGCTCTCTTGGGGCCACCTCGCCTGTGCTGGAGGCATCTTGGAGGCCACTTGGGGCCATCTTGGCCGCCTTGGAGGCGATTTTGGCAACGAGGTCTGGGTTTTGAGTAGCTTTCCGGGTGGCCGGCGGGTTGGGCCGAAGGACCAGTGGGAGTTTCAAAAGAACCCACAACCACCAAAAGTTCACCGCGCCCTGCACCCCTATGGCAAGCCAGAGAAGGCGGCGGATCGAAGACGCCTACGGCGAATCGCCGCCGCCCCCCTGCCTTTTAGAACAATCGTTTGGGTAAAGTTTGGCCACGCTATTGGGCCATGCGTTCCCCCAGCCGTTGTGGAAGCACTTCGGGGAACACGTGGGGGAGGAAGAGGAGGATGAGGAGAGGACGAGGGGAACGGAGGATGTGGAGAAGGATGAGGAGACCTCTTGGGAGCGTCTTGGGTCATTCTTGGGGCCTCCTGGGGGCAGCTTGGAGGCCTCCTGGGGGCCTCCTTGGGCCTCTTGGTGGCCTTTGGGGGCTTCTTGGGGGCTTCTTTGGCCGTCTTACGGCCTTCCTGGCCCGTGTGACGCCGTCGGAAGCCGTCTTGGGAGCCTCTCTGGGCTGTCTTGGGGCCATTTGGGGGCGCTTCAGGGTTGTCTTGAAGGCCATCTTGAGCGTTTCGGGTACCTCTTAGACCGTCGTGGGGCCCTTTGGGGGCCGTATTGGGAGCCTCTTGTGCCGTCCTGGGGCCATCTTGGAGGCCTTTTGAGCTTTAATTGGGCAATCTTGGGGGCTACTTAGGCTGTCTTGGGCCGTTGGAAGGCCGTCTTGAAGCAAATGCAGGCCATATTGGAGACATCTGGCCGCTATATTGGGCCTTCTTGGGACCATCTTGGTCGTCTCAGAGGCCATCTTAGCCGTCTTGGAAGCCATCTTGGGGCCATTTCGGAGGGGACATCCGACGGACTGCGCATGTTCCAGCGCTGTCAGGGTAGCCGGCGGACTGGGCCGAGACCCCACGGAAAGTTCTTTAGAACAAAAGCCTAAGTTTGCCAGATGTTTGGCACGCCATGCACCGCGGTGGCAGGGCCACAAGGGGCGGCGGATCTCATGGCCTTCGGCCCATCCCGCTACCGTGCCCACGCTGATATTCAGAGGCCTCTTGGATGCATGCGGGGATCTGTTGGGAAGCCTCTCGGGGAACTCTTGCAAGGGTCTTGGGGGCTTCTGGGGGG